GATGGGCCTTCTGAGATTCTGGGGCTTTCTGCAGCACCACCTGCACAGCCTCCATCTGTGGTTGGGCCCTGAACACAAGAGCTTTTTCTAATGTGCACAAAGGCACTGGACTGGGCTCTTGATTCTAGAGTCTCTGCTTTCTCCCCATGCCCTATTTGGACCTGATACTCTGCTCCTCCCTGCCAAAATAGTGGGCTCCAGTCCCCTCTCTGAATAGCCCCCCATGCCTGCAGGGCACACCCTGTTCTGCCAGTGGCCTCCCTGACAACAAGGAGCCTCCTGCAAGAGTAAATGGCTCTGAGGCCTTGTGGCCCCCAGGAACACAAGAGGGCAGCCACGCTGCTGTCTACAGAGAAAGGAGGCAGGACTCTTCTATGTGCCTAAGATGGAATGAGCTGTTTCAGAGTGAGCTGAGGGTGTGGCCCAGCCTTGCCCCTTGTCACTTGGAATCTGACCTGCTGAGAGCCCATCCCTGGCATCCAGACCTCTCTGTGCTGTCCACCTGTTGGGTCCACCCTCAATGAGGGGCTGGTACTCTTTGCCACCCTTATTTGGGCAGAATCAGTTGTGGGTGAGTAGGCGTGCACACACTCAGATGTCGTTCTATAAGTATCTGCACTATAAATAGGGAGAGGCTGCCCTAAGTGTTTGTTAATTGATGCCTGGTCACATTAGTCTTAGAACCTAAATATTGCAAAATGGCTCCTAACTTTAGATCCCATGAATTCCAACATTCTCAGCTAGAGGAAGCAGTTTCAAATATCCAGAGCAGGCATCGTTCTTCTCCTGACAGGGTCCACACATACAAAGTACCGGCAGGGTGCTCTGGGGGTGGTGTGGGTGCTGTACCCAGGGGAGATACAAGAGCAACCAGAGACCCACATGCCCCATAAAGAAGCTCACAGGGTGACAGGGGAGACAGGATTTACACTGAAGAAAGATCAGAGCATCACAGGCAGAGCTTAGCATCTTCCGGCAGACCTTAGACTCAAAAAGCCAGAGGATCAGGGGTCGGGCATTGTTATATCGCCAGCTCACCACCCCAAGCCCCTCACTGCTACCAGCAACCTTGATTTTCCTCTGGTAAACCAGGAACGACCTTCATGTGACTGGACTGTGTGAACCACACCTCATCTATTAGCATATTTCTTCTTCCTATCAATAGTGATTGGTCAAGAAGTCAGACAGGTGATCCAATTGGAGCTAGGGAAACTCAACTTTGGGACTTGGAGGGAACACAGGGAAGCAGGAACGTCTTCTGGAACTGATACCTGGGGGGCTGATGGAGGCCTGAATCACCCCGAGTGGGGAGAACCTGCTGAAACTGAAGTCCCCACTGAAGAGGGTCCAACTGAGCCCAAGTCTAAGGACAGCTTTGGAGCACCTGAATTAAGCTATACCTGAAGCAT